TGTTTGTTATAAATCATTAAATCCCAAAGTCTCTAATTTGACGTTTATTGATAAACATTTTATCATAAGTCAAAAATTAAAAGTGATAGGAGAAAATGTTATTGATGAAAATTATTTGCTATGAACCAATAAAACGTTATACCAAAACAGTTTTAACCCAAATGTGATTATTACCAACTTAGAAAACTTAAAAGCACAACATTTTAAAATTTGACGTGTTTGACAACAAACTAATTTGTAAATCAAAAACTAAAAACTTTATTTGATAATGATATGAATAAAAATTGTTCATAACGGATCATAAAAACATAATCCATAAAGAATCCTATTGTTTGTTATAAATCATTAAATCCCAAAGTCTCTAATTTGACGTTTATTGATAAACATATTATCATAAGTCAAAAATTAAAAGTGATAGGAGAAAATGTTATTGATGAAAATTATTTGCAATGAACCAATAAAACGTTATACCAAAACAGTTTTAACCCAAATGTGATTATTACCAACTTAGACAACTTAAAAGCACAACATTTTAAAATTTGACGTGTTTGACAACAAACTAATTTGTAAATCAAAAACTAAAAACTTTATTTGACAATGATATGAATAAAAATTGTTCATAATGGATCATAAAAACATAATCCATAAAGAATTTTTTTCTAACTAATTCCTATTGTTTGTTATAAGTTATAAATCATTAAATCCCAAAGTCTCTAATTTGACGTTTATTGATAAACATTTTATCATAAGTCAAAAAGTAAAAGTGATAGGAGGAAATGTTAGGGATGAAAATTATAATTATAAGATAATGATAAGAAGAACCATAAAATTAATTCTGATCATTTTCGAAATAGAAATAAGTGTTTGGTGCGTGTCAAAATCGATTAAAAACATCTCTAGAATGTTTAACGATAACGAAAGAACTATCAAAACTATTTTTGATCTTTTTGCAAGTATTTCAAAGATTTCAAAATATAGAAAAAGCTTGTTGGTGTGCGTCGAAATGGTTATAATGAACTAAAATCATCTCTAGAATACTTAACTATGATGAAGGAATGAAAAAACTGTCTTTTGATGTTTTAGGAAGGTGTCTGAAAGAAATCAGAAAATAGAAAAATTTGTTGGTGTATGTCAAAATGATGCTAACAGATTAAAACTACATTTTTATGTAATAATTTGTGAATAGTGTACGAAGTTGGCGTTAAAAATAGTGAAAAAGTAGTAGTTGAAGTGCCACCCAAGTGAAGTGTAATTAGTAAAAGTGTCACCGGAACGTTAAGTGCCTACTACTAAAACAGGACGAGTGAAGTCGATAGGACACTAATTAATCGTGGTCAGACCGTACGGCGACCTCTTCCGGCGGTTCGAAGCGGTGGCCGCGCCAGGAAACTAGGAAGTCTAGTTGGGTTTTTTCTCCTTTTGCTATCCCGGCGAGCCCCGCCTGCTGCAGGGCAAAAAGTGCTAATGCATCCTGTTCTGCATTGCGGCCGTAACGGTATCGTTGCGCGGTATTTAAATCTCCTGCGAGCCACTAACTCGTCCTCTGCAGGAAGATGTTTGCGGCGATCCCGCTTGCTCACTTTTTTTCTTGCTCCACTTGCAACGACACAGCGGCCTTCTCTTATAGTCCTGCTATTTTACTAGTTACCATTTAAATACCGGTTACAATTCAGTTTTAGACCGACAATATGATTTAGTCGAATGTGATGGTTATCGCAATAACGGGACACGGTCCCCTATAGCTATAACATCCAAGTTATGTGATATTTAATAATTAGATGGAATTCATTTTTTATTTAAAACTAAGTTGGTGAAATGAGGAAAACAGTTCTTGTTGTCTTGTTATCTTGTTGTCGTCTTGTTTCGTTGGGGAGAGACACGCGAGACGATTTAAAGCGTCGCTTTCTTTCTTGCGTTTCTTGCCGAGACATTCCCGGCGGGCGTTTCGCAGAAATGACGTCGTTTAGACGCGGAATTCCCGAATTTTAATTAAGCGCTTCTCGGAGTTCGGCTCGATTCGCATTTCAAGTCACGGCGTCTCTCCAAAAAAGCGGAGACATTCGCTAAAGAAGAGACACCACCGTTTTCAACGTTGAAATTATAAAATCTAAATGACGGTATTGTTTAGGGCTCCGATACTGCACCGCATGAATTATTTAACTCAATAAAAATTTACGGGGATTCCATCCTATTTCTTTTTTTTATTTCATCCTTTTCATTATCAATTCGAATGGCAATTCTTCGGGTTTAAAATGATGTTGAATACCTTTTTTTTAATTATGTTGTTAGGTACCTACTAACCGATTCATTGGAACAAGTGTGATTTATACCATATAACTAGAAACTGGTGATAAAGAAATATGATATAAGTATGGATTACGATTTCTTGATGCATTAAATATATTTTTTATTCACAACGTCTTTCTCCATCACTTTTAGTACCTACGTTATAGCTGATTTTATTAAGAAAAATCGTCCATTTTGACATTTCTTGATTTTTGCCACATCACTAGAAACTGGTGATAGATAAATATGATATAATTATGGATGATGATTTCTCGATGCATTAGGAACATTTTTTACTCATAATGTCTTTCTCCGTCACTTTTAATACTTATGTACGTTCTGGTTCATTCTATTAAGAGAAGTCGTCAAATTTTGATATTATGTGATTTATGCCATATCATTAGAAACTGGTGATAGACAAACATGACATAGGTATGGATTATGATTTCGTGATGCATTAGAAACATTTTTTATTCATAACACCTTCCTCCATCACTTTTAGTACCTACGTTATATCTGATTTTATTAAGAAAAATCGTCAAATTTTGACATTTCATGATTTATGCCATATCACTAGAAACTGGTGATAGACTAATATGATATAATTATGGATTATGATTTCGAGAAGGATTAGGAATATTTTTTATTCATAACGCCCTTCTCCATCACTTTTACTACTTCAGTTATAGCTGGTTTTATTAAAAAAATCGTCAATTTTCACATTTTGTGATATATGGTATATCAAAAGTACTAGTTCATAACATCTCTAGTTGAAGAGTTGTCAAGGGGACGACGTACGCGCCAATGTTAATTTGTACATTAATATTCAATTTCGGAACGGGGAACGTTGCTCGTAGGCCCGCGCGCCGAATCACTTATTGTTAATAGAATAATAACATATTATATGTTAATGTAATCTATACGGTGTGTCCTCCCAGATGCGACATCTAGCGGACTATCGCTTGTATTAACATTTGGTTTAGGCGGTCGGCCCGAAGAGAGGCCGAACCAATTCATTGTTCGTATGGTAATTAGCCCGCGGAGAGGTCTTATGCAATCCGGGACCGTTCTTTGCGCCTTTGAGGAGTTTTTGTAAGCGGCCAAAGGTCTCCAAGGTAATTATGCGAAGTTTAAGACAACACCGATTCCTTTACGCGGAGGAAAATCGCAGGATATTAAGAGTACCGGAAATTGAATCTGTGTCAAGAGGAAAACCGAAGATTTCTTCCACGTCCTGTCGTCTAGCCGTTGTCGTCGCCGTGAGATCTCGAAGACCTCTCTGCGTGGACGCCACGCAATTAAACCGGCGCGTTTAAATACGACCGGATGCAACCAATTAGGATACGGTTAACTGTTGGGTACCGGTTAAATGTCAGAAGTATTAAGATACAGTTATAGTTTTATGATCGCTTTTAGAATGAATCATCAATAAACAACAACAAAAATCCATTTTTTTCACCGATTTCGACGTTTTTAGTGTTATCATCAGGGGAGATGCGAGAACAAAAGGCGAAACAAAGTCGGAAACAACAAGAGATTCTCCCATGACTTAAGCAACGAGTCGTTTTCTCATGTCGGCGATAACGACATGCAAATTGTCGCTTATATTTAACAAAAGAGCCGTTTAGACCGAGAAAACGGTTCGGATTTAAGAAACGGTTTCTTTTTTTTTTTGGGTGAATCTAGATCAAGACCTGCAAAATGGAGTTGCTCTCCGATTCGTTTCAAAAGAGCCGCCGATCAATCTCGGGCCGCGAGAGGTGTTGCGGCGCAGAAACAGATCTTGCGTGGTCCGCTGCTCATTAGAAGGGTCACGTGGTGACCTCTGACCCCGCCAGTCACGAAACTCCGCTATTACTTCACCTTCGGGCATCCGTGCAGATTGGAACGTGCCAAACTCGAGCGAAACGCCTCTAAGTTTTTTTTTTCACGAAAAAATTCATTTTTAAGTTTCTGCCAATCATTTGTGAGAATCGAAATGAATCTAATCAATTAGAAACACCTTGAGATTATTAGAAAATTTCCAGAAAATGTAAAAATTTTAAATTATGGGAAAAGGTGGTCAAAATCGTTCAAAAACATCTCTAAGATACTTAATAAGAATAAAAGAAGTGATTTGGAAATATCTCAAACGTACCAAAAAAGAGAAAACGCTTATTGATGTGAGTCAAAATGGTACTAATCGATTAAAAACATCTTTAAGATACTTAATAAGAACAAAAGAATTTAATTACGTGAATTTGAGCTTTTTTGAAAATGTTTCAAATGTGTCAGAAAAGAGAAAAAGCTTATTGGAGTATGTCAAAATGGTACTAATCGATTAAAAACATTCTTAGGATATCTAATAAAGATAATAAAAAGATTTTGATCATTTTGGGAAGAATTTTAAACATACCAAGAAATGCAAAGAGCTAAAAAAAATTTATTTATTATTATTAAACGTTTTATTACGACAATTTCGCAATTAGATATCGAAGTCGTCTCCTTTAATAACGTTTAATTTTTTGAAATTAAAAGTGAACTAGGAAGGTAAACGACGAGCGAATTTAAATAAAATCTACGTTTCGCCCACCTTCGACTCTCCGCTATATAATAATTATTGTAATTTCTTTGTGCACTTTAAAACTGTATTACGTGGACGTTGTGTGGGATAAATTCAAAGAAGTCGATCATTTTCTTCAGTAGGCGAAATTAAAAAAGAAAATTATTCTTACCTTATAATAATCGTGTTGGTTCTTAATCCAAGAATGAAAAAAAATCACTTGTAATAATAAGAAAATAAAAAAGCACTAAATAAGTTTATAAATTCCCCATCACTCCATATTTTTTAATTGGTTTATTAATTAATTATTAAATAAAGTTCGTTAATAATTTTTTTTGTTTATGTGTTTATTTTAAAGTTTGATCACTGTTTTAATGATTCAATGAAAGAATTGAATTGATGAATGGGGAGTCTCTCGCGGTGGTGATACGAACGTGAAACGAGACGACGAACCCGGCGATTCAAGCACGTGGTCCTCCTCGTTATCCTGCGGCCTCGCAGGACAGTGGACGTGCGAAGACTGGCGGAGTGTACGCGCGGAGGCTGCGTACCGAGGCGCGGTACGCGGCAGAATGCTCCAGTTTCGCTCGGAAGATCGGAGGCTGTACCGCGAGATCGAAAGTGGTTCTGCAGGACTTTTCGATGGACAAGCGGTTGGACTCCGCAGGGCGCACAGCTGACGGCCCCCGCTTGTTCCCCTCTGTGATTCTTCATAACTCAAAGATCCCCAAACGATTTTATTTTATTTAACATTGACTTTAATAAAAACGATTACAATGAGTTTACCTCGCTGATGGCGAGGACTAATTGTATTCAATCGAAACCACAATAGAACACGAATCCATTAATACATTTTTTGCTACCGGTTAAAATAATAAAAGATTCGCTTTTTTATAACTCTACTTAATATTCTTATTGGAAACAACAAACACGTTGATTTTACGTTGTGTTTTTCCCGGGCGAAGGTGAGATGGTAGAGATGCGGATGCCAACACAGTTTTTCTTTCTTCAAGGAATTCTAAACAGAACACTATTTACGAATTATCCTTTTTAATTTTAACACCTTGGAATTTTCTACCAGGACATCCTTGATATACTTAGTAACAATATGTGTCATTGTTGTCTTTAAAAAAAAAGTAAACTAGAATATTGTAATAAATGACTAATTGTGAGATGGATTGGGATTTTTATTTTCGATTACATTTTTTCTTGAAATTTCCTACCACGACATCCTTATTATAAAAAAACTCGATTCAATTATTTTATGAACATACGTAATTTAATTATTCGCCGATTTCGCACTTAATGACATCTTCAGGAACATCCCAATCACCTAATGTAAAGTGTTGATGATGTCGAAGATGTTGTAACTCTGGCCTTTTCCCAAAATGGCTACTCCAGATATATGGTGCAGAAAGCCATCGATTGACACTCCAAGCCCAGGGATCCACCCCTGATGAAGGCTCAACGTCGTACAACCCTACATTAGAGCAACATGACAAAAACATGACATCTACAAACTTAACAAGACCATAGGAGCTTCTCTCAGGAATCCAAAGGACAAACTGAAATTGGAAATCCGTTTGACAGTAGATTACGACAACGCACTGAAGATGCCAGGTGAGATCTTGGCAAAACGTCCGCTGAAATCTGGTATATATATATAGTTTCTGGTATTAAATCATCAAAGTCATTAGCCCTCTCTGCTCCAATAGCATGCACACCGATCTAAGAAGCTCATAAAAGCATGTAAACACTAATCGATGAGGCCGAATTCGTTGTGTCGTCTCTGTCGTCACTTATATCCCAGTTAAAAACCTTTCTAAGGTGTGCTAAGGCCAAAAATAGACAAACTCTAATTTTTTAGCAAGGTTTACATCTTGAACTTAGCATATTAGGCCTCTCCGAGCAAAGTCAATACCAAAACAATACATCTTAATCTCGTCAAAACGGCACGAGAATAGGATTATGAACAAGAAAATTTATGTCTAAACAACTTATTTTTGTCCTCAATTAATTCTGACTTATGCATATGAATTCATATCTGCGCAAAAGACACAGCTTGTTTTTCTTCTTGTGTAATACACACCTGAGTAATCTTATTTTCTGTCTATAACCCTCTATTGTCTTCAGATTTCTCCAGTTTTAAACGAATCTAAAAGCAATCCCATCTAATCCCAAAGCAACTAAACCCAATTCAAAATAATCCAGTCTAAATCCTAGATTAGCTTGGATTTAGACAACATACAATACCAAAACAACAACGCTCAACTCTATTTTAAAACAACCCAACCCATTTCCAAAGCTAATTCCGAAACAAACTAACTCACACCTTAAGTAAGTCAACTCAATTCTAAAGCAACCCAATCCCAAAGGTGTTAAACTCACAATTACAGTTAGCAATTAACAAAGCAACCCAACCCAAAAGAAATGCGATGCAGTACCAAAAAACAACATACCCTAGTTTGTCAGCCCAAGACATTTCTGTCTCCAATGTCGTAAACGCTTAAGTATGGGAAGAGGTTCTATTATAACTTATAACAGTTATCGTCTGTAAGATTCTCTTCATTTTCACTCAAAATCATTTTGTCCGCATCTATTCCACAACATCGGCTTCCTCACAATTATGAAAACCAAGAACTAAACGACACAAGGAAATACCAAGACACTTCAAGCGTTTCTGCTCCATTTTAAATTTCTTGTTCTCCACTTTCTTTGTTATTATGCCTTGATTATCTGTAATGAGTATTATCTTCAGCTTACAGAAGTCTACGTAGCATTTGTATTTTGTACATCCTTCATCCATTAGCTAGATTAGAGGATCACCATAAACTCTTCATTATTGGGCACTTCAAGTACGTTGGAACATTGTTCCAAAAAATCATAACTAAATTCCACTCTGTTCCAAACCATCCAACTTGCATATAAAGCAAGTTAATTCAAGTTCAAAGCATCACAATCTAATCCTAAAACAAACCAAAAACATCTCAAAGCAAGTAAACTCAATTCCAAAGTAACCCAACCCAAATTAGAACCAACCCAACCCAAACTCAAAGCAACTCAACTCATTTGCAAAGTAAATCAACTCAATTTCAATGCAACCCAACGCAATCCAACCCAAGTCATACTAAAACTAAGTCAATTCAATTTCAAAGCAATCTAATCTAGTCCTAAAGCAACCCAAGTCACATCCAAAGCAAGTAAACTCAATTCCAAAGCAACCCAACTCAAACTCGAAGCAACCCAATTCATTCCCAAAATAAATCAACTGAATTTTAAAGTAACCCAACATAATCCTAATTGAACTGAACTTAATGCCAAAACATCTCAACGCAAGCCCAGTCCAGAATCATTTAAATCCCAGCAGAAAGATAGATAGAAATTCTGATTTCAAAAAATCTCAATCCCAATTCCTAAGCAATCCAACATACTTTTATTTTTTGGAGTGAAGCAATAAGGAATGACCCTTCCATCTTAGTTCAGATTTCTTGAATTTATCCAAATATGCATTAAAAAGTCTTCTTCATCTTTTTCATTTTTCTGATATATATCTCATACTTCTTTTGTGTCTACAAGTGTGTTAGTTTTATTTTAAAGTTCAAAGTTTAAGTATTTTTATTCGCGATAAGTCGCTTTATTACTAACAACCTCCTTTTTGTCGTAACATAGTCGTACATAGTTAAAACGGCTTCTAACGGTTTCTGTTTTCTTTAAGAGGAATGAACTTTAAGAGTTCCACCTCAAACACGGCCACCCTTGTTGAACGATAAACACTTTATACCGCACAAATAATTCATCATACAAGATAAAATTCTTTTAAAACGTATTTTATTCCAAGAAGGCAACTTAAAAAGAGTTAAAAGAATAAAAAACGAGTTCTAAGTCCACGTTCGAGTCGTAAAAAGACGATGATGGTTTTCTTTTATGGGAAAAATACGGGTTAATTGGCGCCCTCTAGAGACGTTGCTTCTTAATGTATTAGGCGAATTCTTTTTTAATAAAATAAAAAAAAGAATAGAATATGATAAAAAACTTTCCCCTAAAAAAACGTACTTTAAGTAACTTAAGATCGCGTGTGCTTTGGCGAATGGTGAGAGGCAAGCGGCGCCGCCTATCGGCTACTTCGTCGTTACGCAACAGCCCCATTAGAATTAATTAGCTGTGTCTTGGTTTGGACGCGTGCCCAAACGACGTTCGTTGTGAATTATTATTAGATTTACTCGACTCAGGACAAGGATCTTAAAATAGTGAAAGTGAATTTTGATAATTTTTTTATTTTCGATTATTTTTTTTTTGTTACTTTAAGATGTGAGTACCCGCTCCACGTCCATGTAATCCCACGACGCCAAACGTTCTCCGCTTTCCAACTCCTCGAGACGTATTAGGATTGGTTTGAAATGGCGAAAAGAGGGGGCGATGCGGCGATTATTCGCTAAACTTGCGACGTGGGAGGAATAAATTATATAAATAATCGCGTCCCGTGGAAAGGACCGACCTCTATACAAAACAATGCACTCGAAATTCATTTTTAAAATTGACCCAGATTAAAATTTAGATTTTAAAGAAATTTACCTCTTCATGGTCTAATTCCTCTTTCGGAAAAGATCGCGCAACAAAACGGAATAAAAAGAAACTCGAACTTTGTCAATGGATGAGGAACCGTTAGGAAGTCATCACTCCACTTGTCGGCGACAATACCCGGCGATGAAAGAGATCATTATTGTGGTAATACCGAAACTAAAAGATGTGTGTCACCGAACTGTAGGTACATACCATTTTTTTAAAGAACAGTTTCTTTTATCGTCGATCATAATTTGTTAACCACCACCCACAAATTACTCAACGATCTCTTTCGTATTAGATCGATATCATAGCAAGTCAATCAAATGGACAAAAGAAGAGTTTCTAAGCCTTCGGGGAACTTTTCTTGGCGCAATTATGTAACCAAATACGTTTAAACCAAAGACGGTAGAATCTAAGAGGACTGATGCATACTGGGAATATGTACACAGCTCCACGACCCCTTCGTGACGTGGCATTAACACTAACACTAGAACCAACACTAAACCTAGAACTAGTAACATTCGGGTTTAGCCGAACGTTACTTCAAACATTATTATCTCAAGAATGAACAAAGATTTTCAAATGCGGTTTTATTCATGACAAAGCACATACTTTCCTTTATAAATGCACGAAAGTTCATTCAGATATCTTAAGAATTCGATTTTTCGCGATTTTTTAAAAATGATGGGAAGAAATTGTTTGCTTAATAAATTCTCAAAAAATTAGGTTACTTCAAATGTTATTATCTCAAGAATGAATAAAGATTTTCAAATGCGGTTTTGCTCATAAGAAAGTATATACTTTCTGCTATAAATTTACAAAAGTTTATTGAGATATCTTCAGAATTCGATTTTTCGCGATTTTTTAAAAATCATGGAAAAAAATTGTTTGCTGAATAAATTCTTAAAAAATTAGGTTACTTCAACAATTAATATCTCAAGAATGAATAAAGATTTTCAAATGCGGTTTTGTTTATAAGAAAGTATATACTTTTCTCTATAAGTGGACAAAAGTTTATTAAGATATCTTAAGAATTCGATTTTTTGCGATTTTTTAAAA